ACCTATGGGCTACATGCACTGAAGGTGGACCCTGCACTCATTGAACGGCAGAAACGGAGAGACCCCTACACCAAGCCCAAGCCCACTGACATCAAGCCGATTCTGACACACTGTCCCTGTGTGGCAGGACAGCGGAGACACGGCCCTGCCCAGAGCAGGCTTTGTGGAGGCGGTCCGTCTTTCAGGAGGCAGCCTGCCACCTCACTCTCCCAGAGTGGCTGGTGGTTCAAACTGCTGTACCACAGGTTAGCGGTCGAACACTTCACCCCTGCACCAACAGGCTCTTCAAGGGCCTTAAAATTCACACCCCTCTCCAAAAAAACGTCTGGGTGTCTGCGATCTGCGTAGCACAGAGGTGGGCGCGTTCTGGAACTGCCTCTGTCCGTGTGGAGTGGAGAGTGATTAGGAGCCGTCCTGTGGTTGGAGGGCGTCTTGAAGACGTGGTGTGGACTCAGAAAGAAGGCGGAGCAAGAATGGGGCTCGGCTGCCCGGGAGCTGCTCCCCCTGAGTGGGGAGGTCTGGCCATCACTACAGAGGCTTCTGGGAACCTGTGAGCAAACCCCTTCACTAGCCCCCCACCCACCGGAAACTGCGGGGACATCCCCGACCTGGCTGCAGGAGAGAAGGTGGAGGGTAGCACCTGGCCAGGCCCCTGCCTCCCCCAGTGGGTCGCTGCCAAACATCCCCCACTCCTGACCGCACCCCACCCCCCGCCCTCTCCGGGGAAGAAGCCGGCTGTGGGGCAGGGACGCGGTTACTTGAAGTGGTTGGCTTCCGTGACGTTCAGCGCCCACTTGCACATCTGAAGGCTCTTCCACCTGTCGAACAGCTCCGACTGCTTCACCCTGCGGGAGTGGAGGCAGGACGGCCTGAGAGGGCGGGGTCGCCTCCCGCTCACCCGCAGCCCACCCCACAGTCTGCACTTGTCCTCCGGCGCGCCTGTGCCTCAGGTGGGCCCCGCAGGCTCCCGGGAGAGGTGTCAGCACTGTTCCCACACTCAGGCTCGGGACAAGGACGCACCCTCTCCTTCTTCCTTCTAGAATGGAAGTTTCCGGGTTTACAGGACACCAGGGACACCAGGTGCGGGGACACCAGGAAACGGGCCCTTCCCTCCGCACAGCCACGTGCTTGGCGCGCAGGTGTCACCAGTCTGTTCGTCTGGATCCCAGCATCGCGACAGCCTTGGACACGCAGCGAAACCGGAACCCCCAGCGCACTGCCCCCAGTCCTTCCGACGCCGCGCGACCCTCTAGGAGCGGCTGGAACCGCCCCAGTGAGTTTCCTGGACTGTAATTCTTCGCTGGAGTAGAAAGCCCTGGCTTTCTCCCGAGGAGCAGCTGGAGGTTTTGAACTGCCGACCTCACAGCTAGCGACCCAACTCGCAACCATAGCTCCTCACAGCTAAAAGGAACGTCCAAATCAAGTAGCAGTCGCCCTTTGACTAAAACGACCCCAGAACCGTAGTGGCTCCTGAGCACCTGAAAGGAGGCAAGTGGGACTAGGGAACAGAATTTTACATTTTATTTCATTTTCATCCATTGACATTGAAAGAATCACCTAAGGCTGCCAACCTAGCCCACTGCTAGGCACTCAGAGGGACACTGTAGGGTTTCTGAGGCTTCAAACACACCTATCAACAAATACACAAAAGGGCCCCGCACACACTAAGAAGCTTTGAAATAAGTTGATACTCGCACATGTGTGTTTATGCACAAGGTCACTCACTAGGAGTGGGACTCGACTGTGGCAATGGGCTTCGTGGGGTTCCTGGTGACCATCGGTACACTGTTTCGTGCTGCACCACCGGCTGCCAGAGCAGTGCGTGCTGGTGGTGGTGGTAGGTTATCATGGAGTCTGCCCTAAATACAGAAGAAACACTGTCTGGTCCTAGACCAGCCTCAGAAACTTACAGACAGGGGTGGAGAACAGTGCACGGCAAGATGGATATCTGCTGCCTAAATAAAGGGGCCGAAGGAAAGATCCAAATACCCCTGAAAAGCCAGCTGACCGAGAGGAGACCCATATACACAGTCACTGCGGACAGTGCCCTCGATTCTCATCCTAGGGCCCGAGGCCACCCGCCCTGTCCCTCCATCTCACACAGCTCTGTGTCCCCGATCCCCTTTCCCTGTCTCAGGTTACTCTACCCCATTTCAGTCCAGAGAAGCCTCCTTGGGTCACAGTAACTCCTTCCCGCTTTCCCCTGGGCTTTGGTCCTGAGGATGAGTCTCCTTTTCTACAGAAGGGTCCAGAAGCTTCCAGGGATGCC